ACAAATTTATAAAAATAGCATTGAAGTGGCGTGTGAATCCTTTACTATTTCTGAGCCGAATATAGGTATTTTAGCACAATCGTTTGAAAGCCCAAATATTCTTAAATTTTATGGGATTTCAGAAATTAGTGGTTGTGAAGTGATGGTTTTTGAATAGGCCAGTCTGGGTAGCTTAAAAGAAGTTTACGAAAATCATTTGATTTCATGGGACTTAAAAGTAAAAATAGCACTTGATATTTATCGAGGTTTATCATTTTTGAGATTTATTAAGGTGTTTCATCGAGATATTCGATGTAAAAATATTATGGTAGGTTATTTTTTTAAATTCAATTCAGAATTATAACACTATTAATGCATATCGTTGTGATTTATTATAGATGACTCATCATATGGAACCGAAGATCGCAAATTTTATTTTGTAAAAAATGCTTTAACTGTGGATACAGATAACCTCAATTGGGCAGCTCCAGAAATAATGCAAGAAAATGCTTATTATACGTGGGTATGTGAAATTTTTAGATACACTTTCTAGTTTGTTATTTTTATTAATGTTTTCATCAAGTTTCATTAACAATATTTATATGTTATAGTTTCGTAATGCTTTTATGGGAGTTGGCTTATCAAAAGATTCTTTATAAAGAAAAGAGTAATGGTGAGATTATTTCTCATGTTACTAAAGGTGGTAGGGAGGATTTAAACATAGAAAGTTCTAACATTCCAGAAGAATATATAAAAATTATTCAAGAAGGTACTTATATATAGTTTAATTATTTTTTTATATCGTCAAAAGGTAAAATAGTGGAAATTCGTGATCAGGTGGTTTATGATCATTCTGAACTTCATAATGCAGCCAGAATGTAACATCAACATACAAAATTTTATATGTTAAGTTTGTTGATCATTGATTGGGTCACAATCACCTGATTTACCACTATTCTATCTTAATTCGGAATTATATTCGATGTTAGTTCATGATAATAAAATAAATTAATTATTATTTACTAATAATATTTCTATACATACAACAACTTTCTACTTTTGAAGGATGGAAGCATAAGGCAGAAGAAAGGATTAAAATGGATGAAGTCTCTTTCAAACTTTTAGAATTGGAGAATAAATTAAGACATGAAAGATCTAATCAACTCTCAAATTTTATAGATGTATTCAATTTGACGAGGAATGTAAATTTAAATCATGGCTTAATTATTAACACGAAAAAAATACGACCTTCAGATTTTTCAGCATGTATCTTTAAAATTCAACCAAATATCACTGAATTGCATTCTCGAAAATTTCAAGCAAAATTAGTGCTTTCTTCAGAATATAAAGATTCCTTTTTGTTAGAAAACCATATCGATTCATCTGCCATTAATACAAAATATCTCGAATGGATGAATGATGCAAATCCTCTAAAAAATAATTCTGTTGTAAAGGATGTTTATTTAGAAATACAAAGTCCACAGGTTGAATTGATTTTCAGGAAAGAGTTAATAAAACCCTCTGAAAAATTAGTAATTGCTATTAAAAACGCATTAAATCACCAGAATCCTTACCGAGAATTGATGAAAGTATTTAATACTTATGGATATTTTCTGCCCGAGAGAGTTATACTTGGATATAAATTGTATGTAATGTCGAATTTAATCACAGATAAAGATTCATCAGAATCAGATGTTAGGAATGATGAATGGACAATAGATGATTTTTCATTAGCAAAATATGAAGAATTCTTTAACAAATGGGGAGATCACATAAAATCATACAACTTTAATTCATCTTATTTAATTTCAATTGATGGTGATATAGTTACGAGAGATAAGATTAAAGAATGGGCAAATAATTGTTTAAAAGACGATTACAATTCGTTAAATATCATCAGCTGGAAAAGTTTATATCCACCCTATGAAATATTAGAAAAGCCTCTTTGTTAAGAAATCAAATTAGTTCTTGGAAACGATGATCAGACAATTAATTCTATAATTAAAGCAAAAGTTCTCATGACAGGTGTAATTCCCGTTAAAAATTCGATAAACTACTACCGAGTGAACTTTTCTAATCATCTTGAATCGAACAATTATCAGCTTTATGGAAAACTTATGACACAAGATGGTATCCCAATCAATAATATCGTAGTTGAGTTTAAATCTATGAATATATATGGTTTCTCAGCTACCATTGAGAGTTTTAATACTAGTTTGTATGTATTTATTGGCCCATTCCATTGCCTATAATTAATTTCTAATTCCATTATTGGTTTTTAATTTTTTAGTGAGGTGAACATTGAAAATTTGCAAATAATTTGGATATTAATTGGTGTACCGTCTGAAATTGGCATCTATTGTCCAGATACACGAAATATCTCCATTTTATGTTTAGATAACTATGCATTTGTTCCAAAAATGGGCTGTAATACTCAAGATGTAAATCGATTACCAGTTCCCAAAAGCTTACCATCAGATCCAATTTTTATTACGTCATTTGTATGTCCTCAATGAACTACGAGCCATGTTTTAGGGCCGAAATTAAAAATTATGATGAGGGAATTGATGTTACTATTCATATTAAGGAGAGTAAAATAATGGATAATGAAGATAAATTTACGGATGTGGAAACTACTTTTAAGAGTGAAATTTCGAGTAAAATAATGGATAATGAAGATAAATTTACGGATGTGGAAACTACTTTTAAGAGTGAAATTTCGAGTAAAATAATGGATAATGAAGATAAATTTACGGATGTGGATACTACTTTTAAGAGTGACATTTCGAGTAAAATAATGGATAATGAAGATAAATTTACGGATGTGGAAACTACTTTTAAGAGTGAAATTGCGAGTAAAATAATGGATAATGAAGATAAATTTACAAATGTGGAAACTACTTTTAAGAGTGAAGTTTCGAGTAATAATGACTATAGCGACGAAACTTCTAACGCAAGTGTTGAATTAGAATATTCATTTCAATGGTGTGTTCTTTTTTTAAAAGATAAGACTGAAGGCGATAATATTGGCACTAACTTGATCGGCCAATAAGTCATTTGCAGGCATTAGGACAAAGCATTAGACAAAGTGGTGACATGAAAAATATAATTAGCTTAGAAAACATTACTCATCTTGGATTAGATTTAAGCTATAATAAGCTTGATTCTAAAGTAGGAAAAACTTTACTGAATGCTTTAAAAAGAAACAAGGTCACAAATTTGGACTTAAGTTATAATAATATTAATATAGAAATGGGAAAGGCCCTTGTAGAAGTACTGCAAACAAACACTACACTCACTCAATTAAATTTAAAATCTACTAAAATTCAGTCGGAAACCGTAATAGATTTGGTAAAAATATTAAAAAGTAAAATTCCTCTTAATGACCTTGATTTAAGCCATATAAAGCTTAATAGTAAAGCAGGAATGACGCTAACAAAAGTTTTAGAAAATAACGAAACACTCTCAAAATTAAATTTAAGCAATAATGATATTGATTTATCTTTCAGAAAAGCTTTGGTAACTGTCTTAGAAAAGAATAAATCTCTTGTTAATCTGGATTTAAGTTTTAACAACCTTGAAACTGAAGTAATAGTGGCATTGGCTAAAGCCTTAGGATCAAACAGTAAACTTACCCACTTGAACTTATGTTTTATCAATCCTGAATTTCGAGCAGAAATAGCTTTAGCAAAAGCATTAGAAACAAACAAAACCCTCGTTAGTTTAAACTTGAGTTTAAACAAAATTGGATCGTTTGAAGAAAGAAGTTTAAAAGATCACTTACAAAAAAGTTTTTCAAACTTAACTCGTGAAGAGAATATAATTAATTGTGTAACAGGAAAGCACTTTAAGATAGTTTTAGAAAAAAATAAAACCCTTACTGATTTAAATATAAGTTCAAATAATATTAGTTCAGAGGCGGGAAAAACTTTAATAGATGCGCTAAAACACAATAAAACTCTACGTAAACTGAATTTAAGCAAAAATAATATTGGCCCCGAAGCGGGAAAGAGATTAGTAGGAATTTTAAAAACAAATAAAGCTCTTACTACCATAAATTTAGGATCAACTAGAATTGGACCAAAAACAGTAATAAATTAGCGCAAGAACTAAAATTTAATAAAATTTGCCTTCATAAGTTAGATTTAAGCCATAATGATATAGATCCTAAAGAAAGTAAGTTATTGATTGAAGCTTTAATACTGACATTACTTACACCGCTGTCACCACATCTTCTAGGTCTCATCGCTACTTTTAATTCTGGCTGTTTCATTTACTGGCCTTTAATTCAAATATATATAATGTTTTTTTTAATAATGATTGTCGCAGATCATAATGAAATCGATTAAAATGAAATGAGGGGTTTCTATTTGACCTCTAAAACCCATTTATACTTGTTTATTATAAAACCTGCTTCTAAACCCTAAGTCTAACCCTAAAAAAATGCTAAAAAAATGTACCCCAAAAATTTGTATTTTTCGGTGGCTTGTCTATTTTACACTATCACTCATTTCATTTTAATCTGATTTCATTTT